TAGACCAAGTTTTATATACATATATATTTTTATATTTAATATAAACAATATATGTAACAGTTAAAGATAAACAAAAAAAAAATAAAAATCGCAAAACAGAGATATAGAAGCATTTTCATGAAAATATTATTTAATTTTTAATTAATAAACATACTTATTTTTAATAATAACGCGATTCTTTTAATTTATAATAATAATTTAATTTTTTACATCTGTAACTCAATAAATATTATTTGTAATGTCAAATATATATTTCTCATGGATTCTCTCTAATCTTAGTCCGATTGTAAATAACACAATATCTTTGTACGGTTCATTGGTGACGATTGTTTACTGTTCCATTCATATGAGATTGACAAAGCTTCACATGTAGCAGCTTAATCGAGTCCGCAGTAGCTTTGTCTATTCCAGTAGTAGAACAGGTTTGATTTCACACAATTCCTTTGTATCTGTAGAAGCTTCCATCTTGCTTGCAGGTGCAATTGCATACCTAACACCCTTCACGGACACTTATCACCAAAATCTCTTGGTAACTTGGTACGATGCTCTTGGTGAAGATATTCCTCACACTCCCGGCTGCAATCCGATATTAACACTTGGCAATCAAATGGAAATAAGAAATTGGCACATGAATGGTTTACCAAAGGATACCCTATTCATTGAGAACGCGGTTCTTGTGATGAATTCCAAACGATGGCCCTTCTTCATTGATCCTCAGGCACAAGCAAATAAATGGATACGTAACATGGTAGGTATTCCATAGAGAGAAAAGTAAAAATTCTTTTATTTGTACATTGTTTGCAGAATTTATATTCCATAAATTTTCTGCAGCTATTGACAAGAGGCTGGAATAAAGCGTGAAATAAAAATTTGAAAAAGAAATTACACCACGTAAAATATATAGTCATTACATATACAATATAAAAGCAAAAGAATTTATGTATGGCAGTTATTATTATAACAAGTATTTGAATAAACAGAATATTTTTAATTTTATTTGAACATTTATATGAAATATAAATTTATCTGATAAAGCGATAATTTTGTCAGAATATATTAAATTTATCCTTTACATCTGAAGCAGTAATGTTATCGAAAATACATAAAATATATTTATTATACAAAAATTTGTATCATAAATTTATATATATATATACAATATATATGCTTTATGGGAAAAAAATTTTGAATTAAATTTTAAATTATATTTAATTTCAAGATTAAAATACTTATCGTAGATATACAAACGTTTAAGAAAAGTGTTCAAAATTTAAGAGAAACACATTTTAAAATAATTCTTAAATATGTTTCAATATATATCAAATTTTTATATTGTTTATATCACCTTATAAATTTATCTTGTACGTAAAAGTTTAGATCATAATAAGTGTTATGATAGAATTTATTATATTATAAATATTATTAAAGGATTGACGCAATTTGATTCAATTTTTGAAGACTTAAAGAATTTGTGTTTGCCTTTTTAAATAGTTCAAGTAAGGAATTAAATTTTTAAAGTATTAGAAGATTGAATTAGACAAGTTTAGTTATATTAAATTCTTTAGTGATTATTGCTTTTATATAACAATGAAAATTTATCTATTCTTTTAATTAATTGAATTTTAAATTTTAGTGCAAACCGATTGGACTTTCCATTGCAAAAATGACGGATGAAGATCTATTGTGTACCATTGAAAATTGTGTGCAATTCGGAAAACCGTGCTTGATAGAAAACATCAGTACTGAACTGGAAACTTTTCTGGATCCTATTCTCGCTCGTGCATTGTTCAATCATGCCGAACAGCCAAGCATCAAAATTGGCGAAAATATAATACCCTACAATTTCGATTTCCGTCTTTACTTGACTACGAGATTATCTAATCCCCATTACACACCAGATACAGCGAGAAAAGTACTGATAGTCAATTTCACGCTGACTGCTGGGTGAGATTTTAATTTCTGAAAAAGTCTGCGTAAAGAATTCCGTACATATATAAATTTTATAAGTTTTTTAAATTTTTATTATCTCGTTTCTATTATTGTAAAGTCACTATCAAATCATATAATAATATCCAACATATAATAATGAAAATTTCAATCAACACTATTCTTGAGAGATAACAAAAACTAAATAAACTTTTTCTAAACATTCCTTTACCATTTTTTCTTAAACTTTTATCCAACAAAATTATTATAGGTATTATATCAATGTAATAAGTAAAAAATAGTACCAATATCAAAGATTAATACTAATAATCAATCTATGATTTTGAAATATAACATATGTAGTAAAATAAATAGGCTTAATCTCTTTTCTTATTCTTACTTAATAAAATAGAAAATCATATTCAATTAATTCGCACATTGAGTTTGATATTTGATTCTAATTTTATATGTATGTAACCTTATAGTGGTCTTGCCGATCAAATGCTATCTCTGGTTACTATAAAGGAGCGTCCTGATCTTGAACACGAAAGGAACGCGCTTATCGTATCAAGTGTTGAAATGAAACAGGATCTGAAGGAGATCGAAGACAAAATTCTTTACAAACTCACGGTATCTAAAGGATCAATAATTGATGATATTGATTTAATTTGTACCTTGGAGACTTTAAAAACTAAGAGTGAGGAAATCAAGGTAAAATATATATAAAATATCCAATTGTTATAAACTTAAATTTGAATGATGGATTGTTTGTTTTTTTCTTATAAGTGATATTAATTTAATTGCAATAAGATCTCAGTATTCTTTGATAAAATATAAAATATATTTTGTATTCTAATTTATAAATTATATTATATATTTTATTATACATATTTGTCAGAAAAAAAGAAAAAAGCTATTTAACAATATAATAGACTTTTTTTTTATAGATGAAGATGGAGACTATTCAGCTTACACAAACAGACATTGATTTTACAAGATCATTATATATGCCAGTAGCAAATCGGGCACAAATATTATTCTTTTGTATCGCCGATTTCCAACGTATCGATATCATGTATCAATACTCTCTAGAATGGTTTGTCGTTATATTCAATAGAAGCATATCAAATACCAAAATAAACGGTAAGTGAAATTTATTGTATTCATCGCATTATATCATTAATTTAAGCTTACCTGATATATAAATTATATAATCTACTTAAATTATATAAATTGGGACATCTCTGTAAATAAATTTTTTTATTAAAATAATAGCAATTCATTTATTATCAAAAGTACTTACGATTAGTAAATATTTGCAAATACTAGTTTTTAAATTTAAAATTTAAAATTAAGGATTAAATCAAACAAACCTAATATCAATTATTTTAAAATTTACAAAATTTGTAAAGACTTGATACAGTGCGGCTCTTAATTTAATTACTTGAAAAGAATTAATTTTGTAATTAAAATTTAATGATTTAATTTTCCAGATAATATTAACGAACGAATTGCTAACATCAACGAGAATCTCACGTTTGCTTTCTTCACGAATGTCTGTCGCAGCTTATTCGAAAAACACAAAATGCACTTTAGTTTTCTCGTCTGCGCACGTATTCTTTTAGATAATGGTACAATCGATCCAATGGAATGGCGACACTTTCTTACAACAACCACACCTATACGGGTAAAACGTGAACTGAATTTATATTAACCACGCTTCTCATAGCTAATGAGAACTTATTTTATCGACATTTTATTGAATTAATTAACATATTATTTTAAAAAATATATAAAAAATATATATATATATATATAAAATACATAATATACATTTTTTTTTAATACGAACTTTATAAATAATTATTCATTAATATAATAACATAATACATTAATAAATGAATATATTGCAATTATTTATACAAAAAATATAATCTTTAAAATTAATATTCTATTTGCAAAATATATTTAATAATACTTAAACGTTTAATTAAATATAAGATATATATAAAATAGTAAATTTATTTTAAATTAAGAGACTTTAAAACTATAAAATATATTTTGATCTCTTCCTTCTATAAATAAAAACGAAATTTGCTGTAAATAGAAAGAAATTAAATTTTTAATCTCTATATGCAAGCTCCATAATATTGTATATTTTATAATTACAATTCATGTGTTTAAGAATCATGATATATAAAAACATATATTATTTTTCTTATTTTAAAAACATATATTTGTTACAATATCGATATATCCAAGATTCTGTTCTTTATAGAAGTTGCCAAATCCCGCATCAGAATGGATTACCGCACAATGCTGGCAAGAAATTCAAGCTTTAGAGCAACTTCCAAAATTCGACAAATTTATTACATCTTTCCAACTGTCGTTACCTCAATTTAAAAACATATTCGATACTCAGGAAGCACATTTGTAAGTAGATTAATGTTAAAGCTTTATGTTAAAGCTTGTATCCACTAAAATAATTATAACCATGACATTAAATTAATCAGCAAATTGCAGTTACGTAAATTTCAGTAAAAGAGAGGAAGCAGATTAAATTAAGTTAATGTAAAATAATTTATTCTGATAACAAAATATTTTGCTGTATTTAATCGTATTAATTAATAAGTCTCATTTTTAATCGCAAGAATGCTTTTTAATATAAATTTTTAGAAAATAATTCGTATGTTAATTAAATATTAAATAGTTTTAAGATTTCTCTCTTTTTCTCTCTCTCTCTCTCTCTCTCTCTCTCTCTCTCTCTCTCTCTTTCTATCTCTTCTTTTCCATTTTTATAATAATTAAAGATCTTGCGCGCGCTAATAATAGAATTTTATTCAATTTAGAGCACCGTTTCCTCAACCATGGGAGACAAAACTCGACGATTTTGAGAAGTTACTAGTACTCAAGTGCTTACGGCCTGACAAGATCATCAATGCTATACAAATTTATTTGACAAAATATCTGGGACAACAATTTGTTGAACCTCAAACTACAGAATTGTTAGCAATTTATGAGGAATCGTCCAACACCACGCCAATTGTCTTTATTTTGTCGCCTGGTACTGATCCGGCCGCAGAGTTGTATAAGTTCGCCGAAAAATTAAAAATGGATAGAAAATTGTATTCTATATCTCTTGGTCAAGGTCAAAAATTCAAAGCACAAGCTATGCTGAAAGAATCAGCGGAAATGGGAAATTGGCTCTTTTTTCAAGTTAGAAACTATTTCTTTTTATTTAATTTTTTTATAGATAGATAAATTTAATCTATGTTTAAAGTATAAAGATGTAAATTAATCTATAATTATCTATTACTTTGGTATCATAATAAATAACATAAATGTTTGTTATCTTTTGATGGCTAATAATAATAATTTAAATTCACAAAATCTTCTATAGAAGAACATCTTTTCTTTATATTATATTAATACTTACAAAAAACTTTAAAACAATTTTTTAATTATTTATTTAAAAAAAATAAGAAAATATATATTTTACGTAACAATTCCAGAATTAAACATAAGATTATAATTTTTGTACAAGAGAAAAATATCCCTTTTGTCTTTATTAAGGGTACCTATATTGACCAGAAAAGCAATCATCTCATTTCGAATAATGTACAAAGCAAAAAAGTCATAAAAATGATTTATTACGCTGCATAGAGGTGGCCTTAATATCGTAGCAATAAAGAAGAAGGGAGGGAGCGAGATCTATATATTTGCCGAGATATAGCTGACCTCATTGTTATGTATTACAATACAGATGAAATAAATATCATAATTTGAGACAACGTTACTTGAATATATAAAGCAGTCGAAATTTATATATATATATATGTATATGTATATATTTACGATCATATAATTCTTTGAGATATAATCTTTTACGCAATATTTGAACGATGTTAAGACATGTACCAGTATTTTATTTTATGTTATTTTCTGAAAAAATCTCAAAAATGCATTTTTCTAATAAAATGAACAAAATTTTTAAAAAGTGCATAAATACTTATATACATAATACCATATTAATAAAAGTACTCTAATAAAGATATCAGTACAAATAAAATTCTACGTCGCAATATTATCAAATTATTCAAATTATTTAAATAATATATGTAAACAATTTTTGATTTAAAAAAAACATTAGAATATGCTGTACATTTACTGCATGAAATGTATAGAATTAATTATACAATTTATAATAAATATTTTGTTAATATTTCAGAATTGCCATTTGGCACCAAGCTGGATGCCAAAACTTAAATGTATGATCGAAACATTATCATCAGAAAAAACTCATCATAACTTCCGATTGTGGTTGACATCTGCACCGTCGTCTGATTTTCCAATCAGTATTCTTGAAAATAGCAGCAAAATGACAATTGAATCACCGCGAGGTGTAAAGGTATTAGATATTAGCTGAATTGAAATAATTATTATTTCAATACAATCATTTTATCATTTTTACGCTTTAATAAATTTTAATAAAATATTTTTATGAATGTTCATTTTATAATATTAAAAAAACAAAGTTACAAAATATAAATTCTTGTTATGAAATAAATCGCAGTATAAATGCGTCTATGGCAAAAATAAATAAAAGTTTGTTTACGTATTATAATTCTTCATAAAATTATCTCGTTCTTGTTTTTCGTTTGTAACGTAGGCCAACATGTTACGTGCATATCTGACACAAGTCACGGAAATACAAGAGTTTCTGCAATCCGATCACCTGAAAGCTCTGTCATTCAAGCGGCTTATATTCTCACTTTGCATGTTTCACTCAATCCTGATCGAGAGACGGAAATTTGGTCCCCTCGGTTTCAATATATGCTACGATTTCACAAACGGCGATTTAGCTATATGTTTGTCGCAATTGCATATGTTCCTCATGGAATACAATACTTTGCCGTTTAAGGTAAAATATCGATCATAAACAAAGCGGATCTTAGTTTCAACAAACATTTTTTTGTCATTCCTATTTTAATTTTACAAAAACATTGCAAAATAGACAGCACAAGAATAAGAAGTTATAATATTTTAATATTCTCTTTGTCAAATGTAAAGTTACAAATTAAATACGCAAAATTTTTTTTATATTCTATATTTAAAAAGATTTATTTTGAATTGAGTCGCATTTCTTATATAATAATTGCTAAGTTATTAGGTGTTGGAATTAATTCGTAGCGTTTTTTAATGAAAGAATGTTATTTATTTCACATGAGCATTAAAAAATACATTAATGAAAGTACTTCCCATCACTTGTAAAACGCTACGAATTAATTCCAACACCTAATATTATAAATTATCTTTATATCATAATAATATAAAATCTATAGAGTTTTATTTATTTAATTGTTAAGTTTAGTATTTTAAATTTATATGTTAAATAAAGGCATGGATATATTAATTCTCAAAAAATTATTATACTTTCGATAACAAAGGTTCTTATATATACTGCCGGGCATATCAATTATGGTGGGCGAATAACAGATGATTGGGATCGTCGATGTGTCTTAACACTTCTCGAAGACTATTACAATGCTAATGTCATTTCTCAAGATTATCAGTTTGATGAAAAAGGATTTTATCATCAGGTACATATTTAAATAAAACGACAGTTCTTTTCTAAAAATTATTTATGATATAAATTTAAAATATTAAATTTTAATCCATAGCAGTTCCAAAAATATTATTTAAAAGTACATATATTAAATATTCTATTTGGCCTAAAATATAAAAAAATATACAACAAGATATATTAAATCATGTTTTAATATTAATAATATTAAAAACAAAAAGAAAAAAAATAGTAATAAAACAATTTTTTTTTAAATTTATAATTCTACATAATTTAGAGAATTCAGATTTTAATAAAATATTTATTTCATAATATAATGAGGATCTCACAGATTTCAATAATACATATATTATCAAGATAATCTACCTCCCTGAATAACAATCAAAAGATTTTATCCATCGCTCATAGTTTATTAAAAAATTACAAAAAGTTGGTAATATGAAGTTGTATTTAATTTCATAATTTAAATTTTACTTAATTTAAATATTACATTATTCGCATATTTGTATACGTGTAAGCAGAAGATTTTGCTCCTTTCCCTTTCCCCATGAAGGGGCTGCACCCGAAAGACATGATCTAACCCAAACTCAATTTTAGTTCCAAATCAGAAATCGTGACAGTCAATTTAAGTGTGGTCAATAATATCAACGTGGGTAATTGAGACTAAAATTGAGTTTGGGTTAAGTTATATCTTACCGGTGCAACCCAATGCAGCCTCTCGTAGGAAGGAGCGAAACCTTATCCCTTAAAGTTACACTTTACACTTTACAACCCGAAAAGAAGTTTATCTCACATCCCCTATTGCTTAAATGGCGAAATAGAAACTGTAATATTGTTCTTACGTTTCCACATAATTATTTATATACAAAAATTGTTTATTTAAATACATGTAAATATGTGTATATATATATATATATATATATATATATATATATTTAAATAAAAGAAAAATTACGGATTTTTGCATATTATAATTTATATTGTTAGTGATTTAAAGATGACACATATTCCTGCCACAATAAATTTTAAATCGTAATATGGTAAATATTTTTTTAATATGAAGTCAAAATTCCATATGAAAATGTATACAAACACTATATCATTGTCCGAAATGTTTATTATGATTGTTAATAACTTTTTTAAACAACGAACAACGATTAAAACAACATTTTGATTGTTATTTAGAGCGATCATCTTGACTGCATATTTCAAGATTATTGAAATTGGTGAGATCATCATTATTATGTAGTTTTACCTTAATTTTCTGTAAATAAATAATTAACTGCTTATAAAACTTTTAATCTTAAATAAATGTTAATTAAAAAAAATATACATACGAGATATTTTCAAAATTTGTACATTATTGTAAATTATTTCATTAATATAAATACAGTTATATAAATATTTCTATCATAAACAAATGTCGTTATTGTAATTAATAAGTTATTAATTACGCTTTTACCATTCTATATTTACACATTCAAAGTTACCGGCTGCAGCGACATTCAAGGACTATCTAGAGTACATAAAAGATTTCCCTTTAAACGACAATCCGTCATTGTTTGGCATGCATTTAAACGCCGATATAAGCTATGCACAAGCAGAAGTACATGCTTGCCTCACAACTTTATTAAACATACAGCCCAGAGAACTTGGCATTGCAACCACAAATGTCGAGGAGGTAACAACTCAAATAACCAAGAATATGTTGGTCACAATGCCCGAATCCTTTGATTTAATCGCAATGCAAGCAAGGTACTAGTAAATTTCTTTTTGTATATAAATGCAAACATATATTTTTGTTTCTAAGAGTTTATTTTTTAAATATATTCTTATTATTGCTACCTTGTAATTTAAAATAAAAAGCATCTTATGATTTTATTATGAACTACAGATTTTACAAAAAATATCCTTGTGTATACTTTTTAAAATATACAGAATTACATTAATTACATAACATTAATACAGAATTACATTAATTACATAATTTTTATGACACATTAGTTTAATTTCTTAAAATTATTAGATGTTGGAATTAATTCGTAGCGTTTTTTAATGAAAGAATGTTATTTATTTCACATGAGCATTAAAAAATACATTAATGAAAGTACTTCCCATCACTTGTAAAACGCTACGAATTAATTCCAACACCTAATACATTTTATGTACAATATCTAAAAATATATTCACTTTTCATATTTTATATTTTCGAAACAAGTATAACTCTTTATAACTCTTGTAAAAAATAATTGAAAAATTCTTGATACAAACTCAAATAAAATAATCTAAATGTGTGTAAGAAGCAATATCTTGCAAAAAAGTTAGATAAAACGTCTGTTGAATCAGTAAATAAAATAAATTGAATTTCAGGTACCCTATGTCGTACGAGGAATCCTTTAATACCGTGTTACTACAAGAAGCTAAGCGATATAACGATTTACTCGAAATCGTGCAATCAACGTTGCAAGATCTTTTAAAAGCTTTAAAAGGATTGGTCGTCATGTCAGAACAGCTAGAAATGATAGCTACTAGTCTTTTTAATAATAAAATACCTGCAAATTGGCAAAGCAAAAGTTATCCTTCTCTAAAATCTTTAGGTAAGAATATCCTAATTACAAGTTTATCAATATGTAATACAATCTTTATTTCAGTCTCGAAGTCAGTTTCCAATAAACAAACTGACATTATTTGTTGTCATTTTAACGTCAAAAATTTGTTATAACAAATATTTTTTATCATTTTGATTAGCCGGATGGTTCGTCAATTTAAGAGAAAGAATTAAGTTTATAAGCGATTGGCGAGATCAAGGTATACCGCCTGCATTTTGGCTGCCAGGATTTTATTTTCCTCAAGCCTTTTTAACTGGCACTTTACAAAATTTTGCGCGTAAATACGTATTATCCATTGACACAATCGATTTTAGCTACAAGGTATGCTTTCAGCCCTTAATTAAATTGTTAATAGGTTCATATGATTAATGTACTAATTATAGAAAAATAAATAAAAATATTTAATAGACACTTTGTTATTGGAGAGATTTGTTAATATAAGTAACAACTATAGTCAAATAAAACTTGATACGTCGATTCTATATAATCTAAAATAATTACAAATAAATATCCTATGTCTAAATAAATGTTATTGATCAACTAATAGATATAAAAATCAGTATTAATCTTTGTTTAAGTATTGTATGATTTTGCAAAAATTTAAAATTATATCTAATAATCTTGGACAAAATGGATAAAAAGGTATTTAAAACAAAGTCATGAGCAATATTATATGTGTGTCACAGATTTTAACTTCCAAACCAACACAGAGACCATTGAATGGCTGTGTCATTTACGGACTTTTTTTAGAAGGTTGCCGGTGGGACGGAAACTATCTCGTCGAGTCTCTTCCAAAGAAATTATTCACCGGTTAAGTATTAATAATGTTTTCCACTAAAATTAATTTCATTAATTTCATTTATTTGAATTATTAAAAGCTAAATTATCAAATTACTGAAGTAAATGTATGTGTATAAATAGCTGTGCTTTGTTGAATAAATCATAAATTATTTAATTGCTCTGAATTCCGTTTACATAACGATATACATAATGGTATGATAATTGTTCATTTGCTCTGTCCAGACATGCCGCCAATTCTTGTATTACCAGAAGTTCATCACGTAATTCCGCCTCACAAAATTTACGTATGCCCTATATACAAAACTATCCAGCGATCTGGAACTTTAAGCACAACAGGACATTCCTCGAACTTCATTCTAGCGATAGAAATTCCAATTGACAAACCGCAATCACATTGGATAAAAAGAGGGGTGGCATTAATATGTACTTTGGACTATTAACATTTCTCTGTTGCTATATACTATAGCGTTTATGATTTATGATTGACAATTGTTGAAGTATTCGTAATAAAAAATAAATATTATTTATATACATGCATTATTAATGTTATAATTATAATAATAACGATTCTACCAAATAAATTTTTTATTGTAAAACAGCATTTTTCACTAATATTATTATTATTTTATTTAGATGTATATCCAAAATATATACATTACATTCATCATGAAATAATTATAAATTTACCATATATATTAGTAACAATTAATCATTAATAATTACAGTATTGTAAAGGTGTATGTTAATTAAATGTATGAATTAGTTATTTGCTTTATTATTCCTCTTATAAAATAAATTATACATAAAATATACAAAAAACACACATACTTAATTAGATAAATAAGAATATACTTTCATTATATGACATCTTTTATTAAAAATAAAAAACATTAACAAGAGCTCTTTCATTAAACTCTGGAAACAATTTCAAACAGATAACAATATCGAATGGAAATTTTATTTATAAAGCAAAAATAGCTTGTTAAAATTAGTTTAATCAATGTTTGCATTCACTTGTCGCCCTCGTATAATTTGGGATCTTTGCGAGTATATCGATCATGTGCTGCATTCGCCCACGTAATCACCACAACTGTCATTGTAAATCCTAAAATGAAAAATATTGATAACACAATTATGAAGAGGAAGGAAATATTAAATAAAACAGAACTTTAAGAAAAGTTGCATTATATATAAACTGTCAATCCAAATAACAATAAAAGTTATTCATAAAAATAAAATTTTAGAGATATATAAATCTTCAATAAATAATTCTCGCATATGATGAAATTTTAAATCTTTCTTTTCTTTTAATTAATACGAAATTATTTAAATAAAATAATTAGATATTACAAATGAATTGATTTTTTAAAATAAAACATACCTTTCACATTTAAAATATACATTATATTACAAGAATTTAATAATTCTTGGGACAAATAATTTGGGAACATTTATACGTTTCATATATAAAATACTAAATACAAAAGGTTTCAACTTCCAAAAAAATTTAACAAACTATTTATTTTTATTATTATATAATTCCTTCTTATTAAAAAATCGTTCGTAAAAATAATTCTAACTTAAATATAACTTAAATAGTTCTCTATAACTTATTTTTTAAGAATTAGTACAATGAATATATTCTTTTATAACTTCTACATACATGTATCTTTAACTTCTTATTAAATTATAATAATACATAATTTTTAAAAAATGAAAAGTTTTAAAGACCATACTGAATTATCAAAACAATAAAACTTTCATTAGCTTACGCTATTATTACAAATGTTAAGAAATTCTACGTGAAATTAGTTCTCGTTTATCTATAGAGATTGAATACGTTCGTAAATTTCTAAAATCACTCAATCATTTATATACTGCAAAATTTTTTTTATAATACAATAAAATATACATACAAGACAGAAATTGATTGATTGTGCCATAAATGTAGGTTGTAACATTATTTAACAATATTTTTTGTCATTAAATAAATATACATACATTTAACGACATCGTATTACTATTTGCAAAGATCAAAAGATCAGTTTTTATTTTAGTTAAAACATAAAAAGTATCAGCATAAAAATGATATTTTGATACCAGAGTAATTATGGATTAATAATATTAAAAATTTATAAAAATAAGAATATGAATATCAATATAGAATTTTTACTCAAAATAATATCTCAATAAATATCCTTTTTATTAAAATTAGAACATTGTTACGTTAAATAGATGAAATTTATTCGTATAAAGTGCATACGTGCAAAATAATTTTTACGTATTATTTTTTATATGCAATATTTTTTTAAGTTAGATCAAATCAGATCAAAAATTTTCAGCATAAATTTTTAACGCATTATTTATATGTGTAAATAAATATAAGCTTATATACACACTTGTATTATTATTAGTAGTAAATTATGATTATTGTAAATTACGATTTATTTTAAATGCACAAACTCACGCAAGGCTTAGTTATACACGATTTCGGTAAAGTAAAGACTACTTACCTAATATTTTCTTCTACATACAGGATGTTCGATTCAATCTGTACATACCGATATTTCGGAAACTATTAAATATAGTCGAAAAATTTAAAAAAGTTCCTTTAATAGAATTACTTTGAGATGAGTTTCAGCGCGACAAAACTGCATTTTAAGAGAAAAAAGGAACCAAATTTTTTTAATGGAATTCCCTTAAAAAAAGATTAATCGATAGAGACAATTCTATTGACCTATGATATTAGAAAATCTATCTTTGATATTACGTCAGCAAATTTCTGAAATCGTCTGAAGGTACGTATTATATATGGAATTGTTCGGAAGGGATTCCGATCATTTTTCCTAGAAAACAAAATAGAAATCTAGGGAATAATTGAACAATTCCGATCGAAATCCATTCCGAATAATTCCATAATACGTGCTCTGATGAGACGATTTCGAAAATTCGTTGTCTAAAGAATATCCTAATATCAAAGATAGATTTAATATCATAGATTCATTTTTTCAATTGATTTTGTTTTTGTATAGAATTCTATTTAAAAAAATTTTATTCCCTTTCTCCTCTCAAAATATCGTTTTATCACGTTAAAAACTATATCAAAGTAATGCCATTGGCAAGGCTTTTTTAATTTTTGTTTTATCTTTCATAGTTTCCGAAATATCGGAGCAAACAGATTAAATCATACACTCTGTATGTAGGACAGATATTTGAATATTTTTGATCAAATATATATTGAAATTATTTCGAGAGAAGATAGAAAAACAGAATTACAGAAAGTGCAGTAGGCATAAAATGAATATCACGGATCGATACAATCAGTGATTGCATTTGGATGTAAAATGATTGCCTCAGGGTGTAAAAACTTTGTAGTTATATAAAACAAACTGCTTTATAAAGTTAAAATGTTCTGTATCTTTAACTGAACTGGATCGTTAGTATTCATCAGTCTTATAAAATGTTGCCAATTAAAACTAAGGATTGCAATATCGGAAACCGATATTTTGAAAATAAAAATCTGTTTATACTTATAACTATGAAAAAACAATTTTTAATGTACAAGAAGGAAATACTTTTAACTAAATTATTAAAAAATAAATTATTACAAAATAAATGATAAACATTAAATGGTAAAAATAAAATGGTAAATGTTAAATGATAAATTATTAAGGATAATATAGATTAATTATCAAAAATTACTTAAATATAGAAATAATGAAAAAGATAGTAATATTTGGCCTGTTTTTGGAGATTTTACATTTAGATACTTCAACTAAAATCTTACAATTTATAGTTTACACATATCTAAGAATTTATAAATTTTGCAATAAATAGTTTAAAAAATTAATTATATTACAATATTTGTTTAATTTTAATATGTATACGTTGCGTTAATGATAAATAAAATATTTAAATATGCACCTGGAATCATCGGTGGAAGTAAACGCATTATTCTTTTCATCATATGGGGCACTCCGTGCGTTATCGATTTTGCCCAGGCTCGTTGCTCCAATGGCGACAGACTGTAATATACAATTCTACGAATTCGTATTGGTAAATTACCAAATTGCAAACCCATTTTGCGCGAAAGAACAGATTAAAGAATTGACTCCTAATGTATCACCAGCAGTGCTTTCTCTGTGATATTTTTCGTAATTTATAAAAAAAAGAAATGAAAATGACAATTGCGAATTAATATTTTAAAGCGCACTCTTATTTGAAAATTAAAACTAAATCTCAGCCGCAGCGCGCGAATGATAAGAGCAATGACTATCGGTAAAACTAACTGAGAGTATGATGATATGGAAGAGAGCTCTTATGCCATGGAACGATGATATTATATTGAATCCTGGATTTTCAGCAAAAGATTATATATACTAGCTCAAAAATATACGCGTTCATTTTAGACTGAACTATATCAACCACAGATTAAATTAAACTTCATTTCAGTAAGATAAAAATTGAATTAATTCATTGATTTTATTTATCCACCCTAAAATTCTGAAGTGTCTTAGGGACGCACTCATAATTTTACTTAAATAATGTTTAAACGATTTTATATCATTTTCTAACTTTGTAATTAAAAATAATTGATTGCATTAATTACAGTTAACATTAATTTGTATTTTTAAATAGATTATTCAATCGTCCAATTTTTGTGTCTTTAAATATTCAAAGAGAATTTACAAGTTAATTTCCCATTGACTTTATAAGCTCTAATAAATAAGTAAGTTTAATATATTTAACATATTAGCTCTTTTATAAATTTTACAATAAATAAGATTAACGTATATTTATATTTCTATACATTTCTTTTTATCTTATATAATAAGATGGATACTAAGTACTATTACTAAGTAAAGATTTTAAAGAATGAACTTTTTATCTTGAATTTATGTGAGGAATCATCCCTTAAAATCTTTTAGAATACGTATAGGTTAATTCTAAGCAGAATCATAAGACTCGTAACTTGTTCTCGTAAAAACTTATAAGCAGTATTCTAATTTTATGTAACATAAAACGTAAGATTATTCGTAAATATTTATTTCTTGTAAATCTTATGGTTAATAAAAAACTATTTGTAAAAATATCGTATAAGGACATAAACACTTCAAAATTCTTACGAGAAAATAAATCTTACGAGAATATGTTACGAATCTTACAATTTTGTTTAGAACTTAGACATTAATCTTTTTTTATTCATACATTATTAACATAATATAAAACTTTTCATAAGTGGCACTTCTTACTAAGTTGATATAATTTAATGTATAGATTCAATTTAATTTTAATGTATTTTTCTAAATCTCTAAAAATAGTGTTAAATTTTGTTTAAATAGTAGTATTCTATTTCTATTGTGATATTATTATTATTATTGTTATTATTATTATTATTATTATTATTATTATAAAGAGAAACATTAGTTATCGATTAATATTATTAAGTAATACTACCTAATAATTAAATCTATTGCATAATTGCTAAAGAAAAATATATAATCTTACCCATTACATATCCATCAAATGAACGGTTCGCTAATATAACTATTTATTTATTTTCAGTTATAAATAACATATAATTATCAAGAACAATATTGACTGTTAGTCTCTTATATCATTAATATAAAATAAAAAGAAACATTTACAAACAATTTCCCAAACCTAATTTATTATACGGGCCATTATCTCCTGGAACGAATACACACTTCCTCCGACGAGCAGGATGATAAAAGGGACGACACGTGGCAAAATCGGCGCATGCTTACGCAGCACGTAAAATTTTCACTGCGTGACCTAGAATCTTACGAGCCCATGAGAGAGAGAGAGTCGGACTTTCCCTGATCACCGACCCTCCTCCAGACTATCGCGGCGACTATGAGGTGCGACACGTCAATAAGTACAACATAGCACAAGGACACCTGTTTGCCTCGATCGTGCACGCCGGAAAATGTGTCATTTGTAAACGCGTATGAGCAACACACACGCACAGTGATGCAATTGTGAAGTTTACCTAGTATGGCGTGACGTATGAGATATCCGCTTTATATTTCATTCCGTCATTCGACATAGTTACATCAGTTCCCAGAGCGAGCGAGAAAGAGAACGAAAATAAGAAAGAGAGAGAGAGAGAGAGAGAGAGAGAAAGAGAGAGATCCCCAAATTCAGAAATAGAAGCTTAATCAACAGGCTGTAGATAATTATCTAATGATAATTAAAAATAATCTATTGTTATATAATTAATTACATATCCTCCCGATAAATAAGTATATATCTTATTCATAGTGACTTTAATAGTATTTTTCTTGCAAGCGTACTCTTTTACGCGAGATGTGTGTATCATCAACAGCGTTTTAACAAAATTACTACCCAGCTTCGCGGTAGCGCTCTGTATAAAGACCGCCGTCGTATTCATTGCGGAATGTCCTACTTCTTGACCGCCACGCGCCGTTCAATTTGCACGATTATCTAGTCACGGCTGATACGCTGAAAAGTCAGTACACGCGCGGGATAGTTTCAATTTATAGTAAAGTGACGACAACGACGATGACGACAAGGCAACATATGCCTCCGTTCGCGTTTTATCTATGCCGCGCCTGTTGCGACTGATCCCTCTCTTTATATTAGCCCTCTCTTTTTTTTTCACCCTTCACTGCCCTCCTCCCCTCCGCCCCTCGTACGCCTTTCACCTTCTCTTCCGCATCCCTCCTTTCTCTATATGCTTGACGTACGGTTTGATACATCCCTGTAGATTGTGCGGGTTTGAGGGGAGAGCTCTCGCACCCTTCCACCCAAGCCAACCTTCCACCCTCCGATGCTCGTCCCCCGCAACCCATCGCCACCGATGCCGAGTGGAGTCGTGCGCGCGAGTCAGTTACTGAGGTAGTGGCAACCATATACCACAGGCCAGCAGCACTCAGTAGCAATAGTAGTAGCAGTAGCAGCAGCAGCAGCACCCACTTGTCGACTGCTCGACACCACGGCAGTTCAGCACCGGTTCCCTAGCGACTACTTGTGCGATTGTTGAGTGCTATCTAAGGGGAATTAGAAACGCGGCGCCGGCAGCGTGTATTAATTAGCGCGACAATTAATTGCCGAAGAGCACGAACTACCAAAGCAACTGACCGCACGCGTGCGCGTCGACGTGATCAGCTGCAGCCTGTTGCAAGCGGCGAATTATGACGTGAGTCCACGGTCCTTACTCCTTTTTTTCCCCTCTCTACTGTATTTGCGTATCTCGTCGATCGAGCAACCAAATCCTTCCGCATAACGTTCGATTATGTTAATATTGCATTGATTTATACTAATTGTACATTTCGCGTTAAATGTGTGATTATGCTAAATATTCTATCCTAATGAATATAGTCTGGAGAATCTAATGATTCATTCATTTCTGATAATCTTGAAGAATGTTAGAATACATGTTTCTCTCTTTCTCTCTCTCTCTCTCTCTCTCTCTCTCCCTCTATTGGTCTTAACAGCATTCTAATTTTTGATATTTAAACGGCTTTAATTTTATGTAACATATAAGAAACATGAGCGTTAGATGCATATGCTATGTTTGAACATATGGAATATTGGCTTCCGTTATTCTTGTAACCCAACAAACATTGATATGTTATCGATAACCGCCAAAACATATTTACCTATGCTCTTGATTGATAAACGCCAAAAACACATTTATATAAATACCGAATTATCCCTCGATCGATTCGACGCGATATACCCCTCGAAAAAAAATTCATGGCAAAATATCGTGCTATGCAAACATAATTTATGTGCGCAGCAGCTAATCGAACGGATTAAATTACTTAATTACAAAGCTTATGCATGACGGGTGGAAAGTTACAGGGAAAACTGCGGTTGTTTTCGTTATTAACAAGCTTGCCCGTAATTACGTTCAATGCGAACAATACATATATACACAACACCGATACGAGCGTATTTTCATCGATTGATTGCCGACATCAACGCAATCGCACACAATTTGACTCTTTTTTTGCACGGAATGAAAAGAGACCTGCCACGCGGCAGACAGCCAAAAGTCAGAAAGTCAAGCATTCAAGGGAAAGCTGCATCACCGAACTTTATCAGTATACATATATGTCTCTCTCTCTCTCTCTCTCTCTCTCTCTCTGTCTCCTTTCTTCTTGCACCACGTGTCGATGCGCTCTTTGAACTGTATTTTCCAACAGCTTTGTTTCTTTTTTTAACGCGACACACTCTCATGGCGCATACACATCGTCGTAATAAGAAAAGTGTAAAATACTTGCGAGAGAGAGAGAGAGAGAGAGAGAGAGAGAGAGAGAACTGCGAGGTATGCACCATGGGAGTATCGATTCTGCAGGGCAAATATAGCTACTTTCGTTGAAAGTTCCTTTGTTCTCTTTACCGCAGTGAACCATATGATAGCGAGTAACGCGCGATGAACAATGGCAGCAGATAGCAAGACGGCGCGGCGAGTTTATTGAATTTTCTGCGGGAAACTTGCATCTCGCAGCTTGTATTTGTTAATGTGTGCGTACGTTCTAATTTATATATATAGACAAGCTTTATATATAGGTGAGAAAAGACGAGACATTTAAATCTATATATAGCATAAGGAGTCTTGATTCTCGATTCTTTTTCCATTATCATCGTTTTCTTTTCTGTTTTACTTTTAATTTACACACTTTCAAAGAACAAATCCTCCATTTAACACATAAAGCTTTAGATTTCTATTTCTACTGGCTACATTGTTTGAAATGTAATGCTTTGAAATGACAACGGTTTTAATTTTAATGTAACGTACTATATATTATTTCACATAAAACAATCCAACAACGTTATGAAAATAATTTGACATACAACAGATGGATACACGTTTAAGCTGTACTCAAGTCAAGGACTAATCGTATATTTTTGAAATTTATTAGCAATAGACCGTCCACATCGCGCTCATAAAGCGTAATATAAATATGAAAAGAATTTCATTTGAACGACATAAAATCGTGATATAATATTTATCAAGGTTGTTATATATCACAAAACGAGACTAATGCTGTGATAAAAGCTATTTGAAAGCTCGTATTAAAATGCTATGTTATATGTCGAAATATATCACAAGTAAGCCGGGTTGAAAAGCAACCATTGATTTATACAACTTTGAAAGTTGAAGAAACAAAGTTCGTGGCCTCTCATTTTTCTTGTTATAGTCGCGTTACCTTGAAAAATATAATGCTACGCGTTATTACCTTCGTTTTCACATATTTCTCACATGCCATAACTCAAATGAGTTCTCGTTTAAAAGCCAATATAATGTTGAGATACGTCAATAATGTTGCAACAAGCCATTGGATGTATAAATCGTGCATGTAAACTAAGAAAAACAAAATTTCAATCTTATACCAATTTTCGTAAAATATACCTTGCATAAAAGAACTTAAATCTTTTATGTAAGATAATTTTATGTGAAAGCAGAAATGAAGAGTAAAATATAAAACAACTAATCTTTTTGCAATTGTACGATTCACTTTATGATTCACTCTCAGTAATTCCTCTTTTCACAAAATGAGAATTTCATCATAGAATCGTATCGTGCTACTGTTCCATCAAACGGCTCGTATGAATACCATACATCGCTGCATCGTTTCCTTCATTTTAGATGGCGAATATGCGACAATTCAAGCATCTCGCTTATAAAAGCTATCATTGAAGTACGATAATATCATTGTGCGGAAACATATTTCGAAACCACGTTTGTGATAGGCGATACCAGATTTCCTGTACGACTCAAAGCACGCACCTAGTCGTGCATTCCCGTTATCGTTCCTCGAATATTTCTAATTTCCCGAGTTCCAGTATAGAGAACACAGGGATTACCGTACACCGAACAGGAAAATAAATGAGAGAACGTGGGCGGTGCGGCATCCTACGCCCAGAGAAAAATCCTTTACAACTGGATGTCAGCCGGGAGGGGAGAAAGATAATAATTCACGTCATATATGTCGATACGCGCGCACAAACTCGACACATTAATATTCGGAAATGATTACAGTACGATAGTGCTGAAATTTCTCTTTAATTGCAAAAATATCCATAGGGAAATGATGTATATAAACACCATTATTAAATTTATTTCAATGCCAATTTCTATTATTTATGCTACCATATATGTACTATATTATGCTGTATTATGTTACATTTCTATATTATGCTATAATTTGCTTATTAATATATATACAAGTAACAATTTTGTTATAACTGACAAAGAAGAAAAACATAAATTTCAAAGAAGAAAAAGATCTCATCTGAAAACTGATATCTGTTCGCAAATTTCTCTATTTAACATCTATTTTTTTTAAACACTTTTATTAAATTCTATTAACAAATACAAATTGCGTGTTACAGTAAAAAGTATTTAAATTAAATTAAATCATGTATTGAAATTATCAAATATTTTGTACAATTATAAAATGAAATATATATGTATATTTTACATGTATAACATATAAGATATATATATTTTATAATAGTATTTTTATTTACATTTTAAATTTATATATGTTATCAAGCATATAACTTAATATTAATGCTATTTTTTTAATATAAAATTTAAAAAAATATTATGAAATGTACACGTGCAAATTACTCTTTTTTTGTTTTGTATTCGAGATCTAAATTAAGTTTATAGAAGAAACAATCTTATAGTGGAACCCGCTAAGTGCTAGTTTAATTTGCTTCGGGGAAAACGATTTTCATGTGGCTTCTGGATGCTGTGGTACTTTTCTACAAACGATATATTAATCAAATTAAAGGTTAGTGATTTTAATTTTCCAATTCTATTCAAATTAAAATTGTAATTCTTATATCTTTCTACAGTATGGCATAAAGCAAATATCAAATGCAAACTTTTATATAAATATATAAATATAAAATGTAAACAGCGAATATACATAAGTTGTCACGAGAAATACGTAAATGACATTTATATATTAATAGATTGCATATATATGTTTATTATTACAGATAAACTGATCCTACGCGAAGAAAAGAAAAGAAGAGAGAAAGAAAAAAGAAAAGAAAAAGAAAGAGAAGCAAGAAGTGCGTCGCAGACAAAATAACTTGTAGCAAAATGGATGAACCAATAACACGAAGTGGTAGATGGGTTTGCCCGAATGATCGACAATTGGCATTGCGAGCAAAGTGAGTTTTAACAGTAATTTACAGCTAAAGTAAATATCAATGTTCAAATAATAACACAAACTGTCCTATATTTAGATAATAAAAAAATGTATAGAAATATCTTCTTATAAGAGAGTTAAGTGGATTTCAAATAGATTATAGAACAGTTGAAAATAAAAGATATACTCTCTTATAAATGCTTTGATATTAATTCAAAACAATTTTAAAGTTTATCTCGACATATTTGATTTTTAACGAATGTTGTTGAAACTATAAAGCAATATGAAGAAACATTTCACAATTAGATAAATGTTTTATGATATTTAATACAAATTAATGTTTTTGGAGTGTTATGATTTTGTAACTCTCTATTCTCATTATTATCTTTGCAAATTTTAAAATTTTTGCAGACAGAAATTAAAAGCATTTTGTAAACATCACTAAATTTATATATGTATAAAAATATTACACTTTTTAGCAATATACTGTAAATATCGTGCAATATGCATCGCTGCCTATATATATATATATACTGCATAATACAGCAACATTTTCAGCATCATAATATAACTGCATATATATATGACACAAAATAACAATCAAGATAAATATTTGTAATATGCATAATATACAATTTACTGCAAAATGTTATAAAGAATTGTTTATATATGATACAATTTTCATTCAAAAATATACATCCAACAATATTCGATATACATTAAAAAAGAAATGCCGAATCTCTCTTCGACATAATATTAAAAATAATTGAACAAGAGTATAAAATTAGTTAAAATTTAATAGAAATATAAAATAAATAAGCATAAATTGATGTTCTGCTTTTGCACATATTTTGTCTTTGATATATAGTCTTTGATATTATACAGGGTGATTTTAACATATTTCAGCACTCATCATGAGTAGAATGAATCGAACTAAGTCGAAAAGTCATCTACCATTTTGCAGTTTACGCAATAGTTAAGAGATATTAATTACTAAAACTTGCCAAATATTGGTCCTGAATAATTTTTTTTCAACTCATATACTATCAACTTTATAGAAAAACTGCAAGAGACAAAAATCATTTATTTTCTTCTCATAAAACTCTAAAAATTTGTTCAGAATTTTTTATCAACTTTTTAGTACTGCATTTTCTTATTTTTATCAACATGAGAAAATACGGTATTAAAAAATTCTGAAAAAATTCTCAGAACTTTATAAGAAGAAAATTAATGATTTTTGTTTCTTGCAATTTTTCTATAAAGTTAGTAGTATTTGAGTAAAAAATTATTCAAGACCAATATTTAGCAAATTTTTAGTAATTAATATCTTGTTAACTATTGCGAAAATTGCAAAATAGTAGAGGACTTTTCGACTCAGTTCGATTCACTTTATCTGACGAAATATGTTAAAATCACCCTGTATATTAGTATTGCTCCAATTATATCATATTCATATAATACGATTGAGTGTGTATCTTGCTTTTCCAATTCACGCTAAAGAAGTGCTTTAAAAAACATTTTTTCTTTTTGTCTTTATAAATATTCATATGAAACATTTAGATTAAATTTCGAACATTTTCAAGTTTATTTTTTCAAGCTCAATATTATTTAAACATCACTCAGAGTTTTCTATGTTTCTTCAAAAGAGTGAAATGATGAAACTCTCTTCATAACAAGCAGACAATGATTTTATCTTATATAAATTATGTTCGTAAAGTCATTTATTAGCCCTGTTTGAAGATGATTTTTTGGAGAAATAATTTAAAGATTTAAATTTCTTTAATAAACGATCGTAGTTTTTTAATTAATTCGGTATGCTAATATTTTCATTTTATGAAACTCTCAGTCTTGAATTTAATTATTTAATATTAATAGATTTTTTATATTTTTTGTTACAACTACATTTTCTTTATCAGCTATTAATACTTTTATAAATATTAATAAGGTCCCTTTAAATAAGGTTTTTTTATTTATATTTAGTATAACTAACTTTGCAAAATTGAAAAAAATAATTCTGTCAATAAAATTTTTTTCAAATTTTTAAAAATAATATCACAAATTAGAAAATAAAAATAAATAAAAATTAATTACAAATTATCATATTACATATTATAGTTTATTTCCTTAAAAATATGATTTTACAAGATAATATTTTTTATACACAAATTTGGTGTAAAACACTTTTCAATCTTTATTTTTATAATTTTAATATTCGCAAAAATAAGAATAGTAATATGTTAAAAAATACGTAATTTTGAAAAATCTTATATATGCAGATTTAAAAAAAATATTAAATTAAAATATATAACTTTCATCTGAAACATTTTTTAGTATACTTTAGAGTTTTGCCGACACTCAAAAATCAAATACTTATAGTTAGATAAAAGATAGTTTGTTTCAATGAATAGTTTCAATATCTAAGAAAAACATTTATAAAAAATAATAAATCTTTTATGTTTATCTATGAATGTATCCAAAACTTATTTTTTTATATCTAATATTTTTTTATAATTCTTATAATTTATAATTTTTTTTAATTCTTTACATGGATGCTTGTCTTACGAATAAATTTTATTTTAAAGAATATGCTCATAAAAATTAACGAAATATTATCTTCATTATTATCTTTTTACAAGTAAATTAGAAAATTTTTTAATAAAATACGTCATAGTAAATTGTGCTTTAAATCTGGCACACAGATTGCGAACAGGATGGTCTGTAAAAACAGGATCTTTCGAATCTCATTGGGGACAGTATCCAAATTCTTATACGAGCAGTTCCAATCGTTGCGGACAATCTTATTTGCTCACTGATGATGAACGGAAAGCTATTATCCAGGTAAATCCCACACTACAACAATTCATTTCAGTTTTCCTCCCAAATTTTTATTATTAAATTTCAATATAAAAAAATAATATTAAGATTCTCTCTAGTGAGATATACACGTGTATTTTTTCACAATGAAAAAATATCATATGTTATTTAAAAAAATAGTTACGTTTATTCTTACGAAATTAAAACATTCAAATTGTTCTTGTACAATATTTGGAGTAATTAATAATGAAATCACATATAACTCACATTTATATTTAACTTGAAACAGAGATTACGTACAGAATACGCAATGTATTTAACACACACGGTCATGAATATCTATATATAGTTTCTAAGTTATTTACATAAGTATTGAATAATTTCGAAGCTCTTTTCCCTATAGACAGAAGTATCCCTTGCAATATAACCACACTTTATTTGACTCACTTAATTATGCAACTTTTATCCTTCCATCTTCTCTGAGAAACCACGTGGAAGATTAAATGGAATTCCAAACAAGATTAAAATTTATTCATTAAAAAATATCATTTCGATGTATTTTTGTATTATATCGACACAGAAAAATGCATTTAAATCGGTTTATTCGTAACAATACAATATTTTACAGTATTTACAGCAAAGAGAAAATTTAGAAACTTTAATTCGATAATGACACAATACAATTTTTTAAAAATTTAAATAAATTAATAAATTATGAAATTAATAAAGTAAAGTTAATTTTTATGTTCTCAAGAAAGTTAATGTGTTTTTTAATCATAATCTTATTAAAATTAAATCGATTTCAATTTCCAAGCAATTTTTCACAGGTGATACAAAGAGCCGAGGCTCTGGATCTGTCGGAACAGGAGCGAGTCGGTAGACTCGTTGAGAGGCTGGAGAACATGAAACGAAACGTGTGCATCGTAACATCGACCAGATCAAACGAGAGACGTAGCTGTGGACGTCGATGTTCCGGTGGAGCTCGATGTGTCTGTTCGTGCGCACTTTGCGGCGAAAAGTTCGGCACGGTATTAGGGGCGAGCGCAAATCTCTGCAAGGATTGCCGCAAGTATATCTGCCAGAAATGCGGCATCGAGGCCACTAGACTTAATCCATCGAAAGGAAACGACGACGGAAATGATGAAACTACTTCACCGCGCGGTTCGTTACGCGTCATGAGATTTGCTCAGGAAAGAACAGGCGTTCAAAGAATCGTTCAAAGATCCCATGGTAATGCACAAAAGCAATTTCTCTGCCGAATTTGCGCCGAGACTAGAGAAATGTGGAAGAAAAGTGGTGCTTGGTTCTTCAAAGGCATGCCGAAATATATTCTACCGGAGAAGAAGGTACGTGGAGGAATGCGAGGATAAAAGTTCAAAAGAAGATCAAAATATTTTTATTAATTTTAAGTCCGATAATGCATTTAAATCAAATGCAATATCCGAAAAAATATTTTAATTACTTTTTGTTTCTTCGTGCAAACTAAAAATTGCTTTTCGTTAAAAAAGGATGTAATTTATTTTTAATGAGAGAAAAATCCCGCATTTTTTAATTAAATTCGTAAAACGAAATTCCACGAAAAACTCACTTTATGAAAGCTGGAAAATTATATAATTAAATCTACAGCGTGATTAAATTACGTAGTTCTTCTCTCGTTATCTACATTTATCTCATTATCTATATTTTGAAAATGTTTTTTTTAGAAATTCCACGTTAAAAATATTTTTATCCTTTTTTGTCTAAAAAAGTTTAAAATTACTAACTAGCAAGATTAAAGCGTCTTCTTAAATTTTTTTACGATATCTTTAAAAGTTGCATGTTCAAGTTAGAACTGATTTAAAATAATCAAATCTAATTTAAAAATAATAAAAACAATTAGAAAATTAATCTTTAGATTTAACTCCTATCTATTAAATAAAATCAAATAATTGAATACTGCCAGATACAACCAAAATAGTGAAACACATTGCAATGACACTTATATTTTAAAGCATGTGGTCGAATAGAATTGAACAATCGAATTTCAATATTTCCTCTGTTGATGTACATATATATATATATATGTATATATATATATATATATATATCAACAAAGGAGATTATATTGAAATTCGATGGTTATATATTTAATTCTATTAATCCTATTACGTGCTTTAAAGTGCAAGTGTCATTATAATATATTTCTTATAATGTATATATATATATGTGTGTGTGCGTATGCGTGTGTGTATTGAGATATATATTTTTTGAAAACTGACAGCAGTAGAACCAAGTTTATTATGATTATTATCGTCATTAGTAGAGATAGAAAATAAAAGATAGTTTTTCCTTATAATTATATAAGATATAAATTTTTATATAGGAACGAGGATGGTGTCGACCTGGTCATAGAACGTCGACATGGACGATAGGTGGTCCATGTAGATCCGTGGACTCAACCGATGCTCAGGATTCCTCATCCGACGACGATGTAACACGACGACTCGCAGTAGCCCGCGGTCATTCTCCTACAAATCTATCAAGCAATCGTGAAAGCACCCCTACCAAGCTGACAATTTCGAGTCCTGGAACTAGTACTTCATCACCGAAAAGTCCTCGAGGAAAGCCAAACGGTCTGTCACCTTCGAGCTATCGCGAAGATGCAAGTTCCGATAAGCTGGACAAGTCCTGCCTTTCGATCGCGTCTCAATGCAGCCGACTTTCGCCTACGGGCTCAATCAGCACTCCTCGCTCAAGGGCAAGCGGCAAAAGCCCGAACGAATTGCAGGTCGAGCAACGCGTGTCCTTCGAAGATGTTTTCGTAGACGACGAAAAGGCTAATGAGGCGGACGATGATGAGGAAGAAGACACCGAGGAGACTCGCAAAGATGCTTCCACATCATTAGACCGGTCGAAAGGCTCTCAGGTACAATCTCTCAGGTAAGGTAAGGATGATAACGAACGGGGTGGAGGTTTGAACTTATGCAAGAAATCACCATCCCACAGACTGAAAGCGCCCACGATAGCGACGACACCGACTACACCAATCGAACAGTTCCAGACTATGGGAAAGATTCTTCAAGAGAAGAATGCGGAACGAGACGCGAGCAGGTCCTGTTCGGGCCAGGACAGCTCCTCCAGCACTCGCAGCAACAGTCAAGGCAAGATGCAAAGAACTCCGGAATATCCACGAGGTCAATAAAAACGTCTCACAATTAGAAGCGATAAAAGAAATTGCAGAATTATTGGACAGAATAAAATTACAAGTGGAAAATAGATCGAGAAAAATAAATCAAATTATAAGAATCCTATTTTTAGTCAAAAAGCGTGGGTATATTATTAAATACCTTCGATTGAAAATAAAATCTTTCTCTTACGAGAATAAAATTGGTCGTCATTCATAATTTAAAAATACATTTTCTGATTAATATAATTCTTGTTTCCACATAAAATTCTTGTTATTAATCGTTAATTTTTTTCTTGATTTAAATAAAATGTTATATGATCTTACAAAAAAAGAAGAAATACATTTTTAAAATATCTGATATTCCTCATTAAATATTTAAAATTTGTATTAACAAGAATCTATAGACATATATAATTAATTATGATAGTTAAAAAAGAGTTTTAATAAACTAAGAAATACAAGTAACAAAAAATTAAATTAATTTCATATGAAGCTCACATAGCAAAGCATTATTGAAATTTGAAACATTAACAAAAATGATATCCAAAATTTAATAAGAAAAAGTAAAGAAAAGACCGTCAAAGAAGTACGGCAACAAAGAACCAATAATTTTACAGTTTAATCTAATTTGAAGAAAATCAAACATACTAAATTATCAAAATATGGAACAGAAACGGGACAAGATTATGGGATTCTCGAAGTCTCCTTGCGATACGACCCGGCAGATCAGTGCCTCCAATGCAAAGTGGAACGTGCACGTCGACTAAGACCCATGGATATCCAAGGTCTCGCCGATCCCTTTTGCAAGCTGAATATACTGCCCGTCGGAAAAGCATCGACGAGCAGACGATTACGAACAAAGACGGTACACAAGACACGCGATCCCGAGTTCAACGAGACAGTGAATTTCTACGGAACAATGGAAACCGATGTAAAAATCAATATTATATCACATGGACATCGATCCGACCGCAAATAACTATATGCTAGAAATTTCTCATATTAGATCTCGACCGGCAAGGCGTTGCACATCCTAATTATCCAGGACGACCCCTCGGGCCAAGACTTCCTGGGAGAAGCGAGATTTCCCCTACACGAACTGCTACCATATCAAACGAAACATTACAAAACATCTCTGCAAGCTCATTATCCAGTATGTTGAATACAGAAGTATGCTTTATACAATTAAACCAGTCAAATTTAATTCACTATATACTTATATAATAAATTTAACTTTTTATATTCAGTATTTTATATTTAGTACAAAAAAGCAAACGAAGAACATTCTTTCTCGTTTAAAATAAATATTAATTATTCATAAAATAAGTTTATACAATTAATTTGTATGCGATAAAATGTATAATGATAAAACATATGAAATAAATATTTTTATCGACATACTGCAGCAATAATTATTCTGTTGTAGGTGGACAACGAAGAGGAAACCTGGGGTATGTGTTCAAGCGGTCGTGGACAGATCCAGATAAGCCTGAGCTATTGCACGCGTCGACGTGCGCTGCTGGTTACCGTGCACCGTGCTACGAATCTCTTGCCCATGGACAGCAACGGGTTTTCTGACCCATTTGTCAAACTGGCACTCGTCGAGGATGCGACCGACAATCATCGGCAGCAACGGTTCCTAGATTACTCGGCCGCTCGCGCTACTGCCAAAAAGCTGACCGGGAGGAAGACGGCCGGCCGCGGCTCGCAGAGCACGAGCATCAAGAGGAAGACATTGAATCCAGAGTGGAACGAAGAGTTCGTTTTCGCGACTCGGTTGACGGAATTAATGAAGTTGACACTATGCCTGACCGTGTGGGATAAGGACTTCGGCAAGAGTAACGACTATCTGGGTACTGCGAATATTAATCATTTCATTCCATATCTTTTTTTTTTATTTCTGAGCGGACGTTAAGAATTTACGGTCTTAAAAGGTAGAGGCGTACAAAAAGAGTTGGCAATCCGCGTGCAAAAATAATTTTATTGCCCCTGCATACATGTAACGTATGTTGCACTGTTGCATTGTTCGCTAGATATGCCCTTGTTAAAAGGTATAATCCGAAATCTCTCGTATTTTATTTGAACCAAATAAATTGACTGTGATATGACAGTAAAATTTAATTTAATTAATATATAAATAAATAGTTTTTGTATAATCATATCCATTTTTATAATCGTAACTAGAAAAATTAAAAGAAAAATTGTTTTTTCTGTCATTTATTTATGTGATGATTTATTTATTTAAAGATATAAGCTTATCATCATCATATGATATTTGCTTATCATCTATTTTTCAAAAAAGTTTTACATTATCTTCTCTATTTCAAATAAATAAAGAATAGCAGTTTTTTCTTTCATTATTACAATTATGAACCAGAATAATTAGAATTCCAAAATTGTCAGTTCCTATAATTAAAGTTTAACATCTATTATCCGACCTGTATATACAGATAATACTTATATTTATACATTTATACAATTTACAGGCGGCCTTATGTTAGGTTGCGGTAGCAAAGGGGCACGCCTTCGACATTGGATAGACGCGATCAAATTCCCAGATCATCGACATTTGGCATGGCACAATCTCGCGGAGATGGACGTACCTATGGAATAATTCTGTCTCGATAATCGGAAAGCAGATCAAGATTAAATACACAAATCATGCGGGCTTTATCCACGTATCATATATACTTACACGGGCATACGTGTATAGTATACTTGGCGCGCGTGTCACTATTTTATGCGTGTAATTTATCGTTGCTCAAAGATTAAGTATTATAAAGCATTAAGAGGTTAATACGAAAATAAAGAAGTTGAGAACAGTGTCATAATTTGTTAACAATGTATTCACATATTTTATTACATATGACACACACACACACACACACACACACACACACACACACACAAAATGCATATACATATATACATATGCATACATATATATACATATATATGTAAATACATAAATACATACACACACATATACATATATATATATATATATATATATATATATATATATATTTCTCTATATAAAT